CCTGAAAAACTATAAGCAGAAACCTTCTTCATATGCAAAGATTAATCTGATTTAAATCCAATTTAAATAATCCACTTGCATATATGGAAAGATTTTTAGCATAAGTGGTCATGGCATGGATATGCACACTTAGTAGTACCTTGCTTAAGTTAACCTGTTGCTTAAACCAGTTGTTCTCAGACTTTTTTTGGCTGAATCTCACCTTTTGTCTTTACTCCTATTTCTTTTGGGGCTGCAGAGTTTACTTTGGAGCTTGAAGTCAGTCCTTTGTTTGTTCCATACTAACTTTAGCTATAACATATTTTTGTTTCAGAAGTTTGCAACCAGCGTAGCTGAATTTTTATCAATTTTGTCATTTTATATATCATCATTTGCTAGGAAATCAGATAGCTGATAGCTATGATTTATAACCTCATAGGCAATAGCTAGCCATCTCACTATTTTGCTATTATGTTGTCAAAATGTATAGCAAGCATGGCAATACCTGGTCAGGAGAAATAATATTGTCTGTGTTCTTGGTGCATGTATTTCCAGAAGAAAGGAGTAGTAGAGATGGTATTGGATACAGTTCGGGGCCAATTATATTGTAAAACAAGTGTGTCCCAGTAAGACCAGTAATTGCAGGGCCTGTCTGTGCCTAACTACTGCATCCTTTTTGTATGTACGTATGCTGATAGAGGTGTAAATATGCGTTGTGTACACATGATTGGCCACAAAGCAGTTATATGTAATACCCCTGGCAGATCTTAGAAGGAGGAGTGTATTTGAGAGAGGAGGACGGTGAAGGCGTTTTAACATAATCCCTACATACTTATATAGTTTCTTTGCCGACATGTGGGGAAAGAATAACTTTGAATGTGGTTTGCAGAAAATAGTCTGTCTTTTGTCACCTTCCTCTCTATTACTTTCATGGCTGTTATATTTCCATTTTGTAGAAGTATTTAAGGATTTCAGTTACTACACTTAGTTGTAAAACTGTATTCTGTAGTTGCAAAAGCCTCTTAGTTTTGTGGAGGAAACTTGTCTAATACAAGATGGCTGTTCAGGCCACTACGTATTGTATGTGGGACGTGGAATATAATGCTTCATTGCCTAACCTGGAAGTTCGAAACATGGTTTCCCAAGTCCATGAAGAAAACATTCATGAATGACCGATGTCCAGCGTGGTGTGGATATGAGCTCCACACCAGGAAGATGCTTAACTCCAGACTGTGGAAGAGTTTGTGAGAAGTATCTTTACGTGTGTGTCCTATTCATTTCTTCCTTCCTTAAAGAGAGTGAGAGGGCATTGCCCTTCACGTCTCTGAGCTAGATGAAGTGTTGTTCTGATCCAATATAGCTGGTCCTGTTTCCTTAGCAAACTTATTATACAGTGCCTTCTTTCTTGAATTTGACCATTTCATTTATGTACATTGAGAAACAACTGAATCACTGTCTGCGACTATTCAGTGTTTTTGTTTGGTTGAAGATCAACTGTGTTACAGTGAGAACCTTGCTGGGTCTGCAGGTTGGGTCTATCGAAGGACACGGTGAATGGTTGCTTGGTATTAAATGATTTTGAGGATCACTGAGGGCAGAGTTTCTCCTTGCTCACTCTTATGAATTTGTTGCTCTGTTTGAAACCCAGAAGTTTTCTGTCTAGGTTAAGGCAGTGATGAGGAAAGAAGTATTGTCTTGTCTTGATCAGGAAATAAGACAAAAATAGGGGAGAGAACAGGAGGGAAAGGTGAGATTTGCTTTTTTGTTCCCTTAAAGCATGATGGTTTCTGGCCTTTAACAAGTCTTTTTTTTTCTGCTGCAAAATTGTGAATTGTTGAGTTAGACCCTTCTAGGTCACTACCAAATGGTTTTGTGAGGGCTGCAATATTTACTCGGAGGCTAAACAGTCCTACTTTGTGCACTGGTGTTTGTATTCATGGGAAAGGACTCTGAGATAACCCTCACTGTGCCCTGGCTGATTTATCACTTATGCAAATGCTCGTAAAATATGCCTGTCAAAGGGTTGTCTTTGTGGTATGGATAAACTGTTTTTAATCAAATTGCATGCTTGTCTGAAACCTTCTTTGATTCAGCTCACAGGCAAATACCTCTCTAAAGCCTTGGCTATGGTTATTGGTTGTGTAGCTGCACTGATAAAGATGCTGATCTTTATGCCATTATGGCTAGTAAGGTGATTGACTTTTAGATTGCGTCTATGTGACATAAAATATTGTTTGTGAAATGTTATGTTGTTGGCTCAGATCACTGGTGTGGAGGGGCAGTTACCTGTTCTTCTCTGTTAAAGGTTTTATTCTGCCTTTTATTTTTGAGACTTGTAGAAGGCCTAGCGAAAGCAGCCTCTTCATGAGGAGTTGTCAGACGCGTACTTTCACGTTAAGCTTTACTTTGGAGTTTTAATGTTTGTGACACAATTTTTTCATTTTGTCATTAAGAGAAACTCATGAGTTTAGCTTTCAGTTGGTGGGTTTATCTGGTATCTTTATCCTTTCTCAGTTTGTCATGCTGGTTTAGCAAAACAAAAATAAACTTGCTGTAATTCTGCATGAATACAGCATTGCAGTTCTGAAGCCAGAGTGACTGAGTAGCCAAAAAAAAAAAGCTGTCTGGTAAGGAAACAAGTACTTTTTAATCCGAAAATGCTGGTTAAGTCAAAACTGGAACATTTTGCAAGGATGGATTATCATCAGAAAGATTTTTTTTTTTATGTCTGAGATGTGTGGTCATGCTAAAAGAGCTGAAGGCGTGCTCTAGAAAAGCAAAATACCTCAGATTTTTAGGGCAGTCGCTCAGGAGGTTGACTGCAGGCAGTGGGAAGAAGGTTAAACTGCAAATTCCCGGCCCTTCCTGATACAGGTGGCTTGGATCTTGGTCTTCCACTTTCCCATGAGGGCCTAAGTATCTAAGCTATTAACTATTTAGGAGGGGATTAATCTTTTACTTATTACCTCTATTCATTTGTGTGTATTGGAACACAGATATCTCTTATGATCCAGGCAAGCTCTCTAATCACTGCTGGGATGTTTGCTGTCCTCTGCTAAATTCTCCTTTTTCATCATGGTACACACCCACCCCTCTCAAAATAGGAAGCAAACATGTAAACATTTTTGAAGTCTTCATAATTTTTCAAAAAATAAGGAAAATCAATCATTTTATATTCAGTTTTGAGAATATCTGTTTTCTTTTACTACTTTTTAAGATATTTTAATTTTCTATCTCAATACATTGTCTGCTTAAGTTATGAAACTTTCTGTTTGCTTACGCCCTTGTCAGAGGATGTAGAAATAGTTTGCTGAGTGTGTAATTAAGTAAATCACAGGCCCTGATCTTGCGAAGTACTTAAGAAAGTAACTATATTGTTGGATAGGGCTAATAGCATCAGGTGTGCACCTAAGTAGTTCGCTGGACTGGGGTTGCGGGATAACAACAACCCCATGCAACGCTCCAGGCTTGGGGAGGAGTGGCTGGAGAGCTGTCTGGCGGAAAAGGACCTGGGGGTGTTGGTTCACAGCCACCTGAACATGAGCCAGCAGTGTGCTCAGGTGGCCAAGAGGGCCAATGGCATCCTGGCTTGTATCAGGAATAGTGTGGCCAGCAGGACCAGGGAGGTGGCCGTCCCCCTGTACTCGGCACTGGTGAGGCCGCACCTTGAGTACTGTGTTCAGTTTTGGGCCCCTCCCTACAAGAAGGACATGGAGGTGCTGGAGCGTGTCCAAAGAAAGGCAATGAAGTTGGTGAAGGGTCTGGAGCACAAGTCCTATCAGCAGTGGCTGAGGGAGCTGGGGTTGTTTAGCCTGAAGAAGAGGAGGGTGAGGGGAAACCTTATTGCTCTCTACAACTACCTGAAAGGAGGTTGTAGCAAGGTGGGGGTCGGTCTCTTCTGCCAAGTAACGAGTGATAGGATGAGAGGAAATGGCCTCGAGATGCGCCAGGGGAAGTTTAGGTTGGATATTAGGAAAAACTTCTTCACCGAAAGGGCAGTCAGGCACTGGAACAGGCTGCCCAGGGCAGTGGTTGAGTCTCCATCCCTGGAGGTATTTAAAAGGCAGGTAGACGTGGTGCTCGAGGACATGGTTTAGTGGTGGACTTGGTAGCGTTAGGTTAACGGTTGGACTCGATGATCTTAAGGGTCTTTTCCAACCTTGGTGATTCTATGATTCTATAATCATTACAATCTTAGTTTTGAAAAGTGAAAGTCACATTTCAACTCTTGCATTTTATTTATCAGCACTTATTGCAGAGTGTAGATTTCTGTTGGTCACAGTTCCTTATTTGGACATAAGAATTGTTTGGGTTTCCAAACTAAATATGTAAATTGACCTAGACAGAAGATTCAGTGGTTTGACAAACCTTTATCTACTTGTGTTGTAATTTAAAAAACAAACAAACAAAGAAACAAAAAAAGCTAATGTTTTTGTTATTGCTGTGTATTTGCATGTCTAATTATTATACAGTGAATGTACAAGCTTTGCAGAATAATGTATCAAAATCTTTGTATCTCTGTTCTGCATGCTTTTTCTCTATAAAGCTTTTTTGTGTAAGCATTTTTTTTGCTGTTTTGTACTGAAATTCATTACTTAATTGGCTTTAATATTGGGAGCCTAGTAGCCATGATGCCCAGCAATTACAATGCTTTGTGAAGTGAAAATGCTGTGCTGAATCTTTTAAAAAAAACAAAAAAAAACCAAAAAAACCCCACAAAAAAACCAACAAACCAAACCAAAAACCACACAAACCAAAACCACAAAACAACCTTAAAATAGGGAGGGGAGGGGACAATGGACAGAAAGTAAAGGACTGAGTATTTTGGAATAAGATTGTGTTGTAATTTGGAAGACATTGTTTCATTATTGGATACCACGAATTTAGTACTCATTTTTCTGTTGTCTGTAATGGAGTTTTTTAGCAATGGACTTGCTGTGTGTTGACCTTTCTTTGAAGTATGACATTCTTGCATTTGCACTTTTTGATCTTTTTTAATTTTATTTTTGTTTTGCCTGAAGACCGTGTGTGGACAGTAATGACCGCACGTTTCCGATTGCCTGCTGGCAGAACCTACAATGTACGAGCATCTGAGCTGGCACGAGACAGGCAGCATACGGAGGTGGTCTGCAACATTCTTCTCCTGGATAACACTGTACAAGCTTTCAGAGTTAACGTAAGTAATTTGCTTATTGCAAATCAATATCACCAAGCTTGCTTTCCTTTGCTGGACTTGTATGGCTAGAAGGGGAAGTTACATTCAGGCAGGCATGCTTGTACATGTATGTACTAAGTCACTGTGAACTTAGTCATTCTGGCATCCTCTATAGTGCTAACAGATCTTAATTTCAAAATTGAATATACAAAGCATAGTTTATTTCTAGTAATTTTCTTCATGGGCTAAAGTTGTATAGTGGAAATGGAGGGAAGTTTTGCCACTGAGTTGAATGAGAAGCGAGCTTTTCTTTACTCCATTCTGGTTTTTGCGTTTTGAACATGAGTAAGGTGTAATGGTAACTCTTCTCTTGACTGTGTAGGTAACTATGTTCAATCATGTGTATGCTTATATTTGGTTACAGCTATTATCTTTAAGTATCTCTTTGCTTTTTGCTTTTCTCCGATTATATTCTTGTTCTGTGATTTCCCTTGCTTAAACTCACCATCTTCTAATGCACTAATGAGGATGGCAGGAAAGAAAATAGGAAGCTGGTTGCTGAATGCTGAGGACTGTTACTGGGAAAAGTGAATAACTTTTAGATATGAGTCTGGAATTTAAAGCAGGTTATTCTTCAGATTTTCTAATCTGTAATCCTTGATAAGGTGTTAAAATGAAAATGTTCATGATTTTGTGCATATGTTCACACAAGTGCAACCATTTCTTTTGACTTCTTGAGGAAAAAAACCCACAAACAACAGGCAAGGACCTCGGAAGAAAATATTAAAGCATTTAAAGTGATCTTTATGTGAGAAGAACCAGAATTCAATGGAGAAGAAGCTGTGGGGTGTCCTGGGGCAGGAGGATTTAGCTTTTACTTTGTAAGCTATAGAATTGATGACTTATGTGGAGAAAGGTTGAATAATGTGATGGTAAAAGTTACAGGTGGCATGATTATTAAAGTTTTTCAAGAGAAAATTGAACTTCAGCGAGTGGAGTGAAGAAGTACCTTGATATCAAATAAGGCTGTGGGACTTCAGCTGGGAAGTGAGGGAGAAACTGAAGCAGTTCTCAAATCCGTGTGAACAAGTTTAATTTGGACTATTTGAAAATTTGTAATGCTCAGTAATTATATTGGATTCTGATATCCAGTGTTTAGTGAGGATATTGATGCATTTTAATGTTTTAGGGAAGATTTATGAGAGTGATTGCATTTCTTTGTTCTGTAATCGGGTGGTTAGAACCTGTGCAGCCTGCAGCTGCCTATCAGAGGAGCAAAATCTCTGTTATCTAGCAAAAGATTGCAAGGATCCAGTGTTGAGTGGCTTAAGATTTAGAGGCATACTGGTGGTTATTTGTTTTAGATTTATCAATCAAGATAGAAGGTATTGGGATGTTCTCTTAAGGCATTTTTGTAGTTCTTTGAGGAGCTATTTAACTTTTCGGGAGCGATGAGTAGTTAAGGGTGTGAATTTTGGATGATGGAGCTGGGGGAGGGATGACCAAAGACTTTAATTTATCAACACCAGGCCTCATCTCCTTCCTGGGATAATTTCTCCTACATACCTTTTCCCTTTTTCTCTACAATATTCCACTGCTCTTCTATATCTCTTATCTTGTCATCCTTGCTAACAGGTCTATACTGCCTGCCAAAAAGCAGTATGTGCAGAATGTAGTTGGAGACAAAGCATTAAAAGTGCATGAGAAAATGTAAATGTTGTGTTCTCTGCTTTCAGGTGCATGAGCTTTCCATTAAAATATCTGTTTTGCAGTTTTTTTGTTTGTTCATAAGAGTTGGCTAAAACAAGGAATAATTGTTGTACAGTAGGTATGGGAGGTTATGCTTCTTTTTGATCTAGGTGTTCAAAAGCTGTATGTTGTTAGAGAATGCTAGTGCCTGTCTAGAATAGAATCACCAGTTATAAATCCTCAAACATCTATTCTGTCTCTCCCAAGAAAAATTTATGTAATATGTTCTCGCCACCTCCCTAGTGTACTAAATATTTTAGTTGCATGGATCACGCTTTACTGCTTATATAGATCAGCCTGCCAGTTTGTCTATTAAAACCGAGTTTAGGGAATAAAAAGTCCCTTGGTGCTCAACTTTTTGATCTCGGGTCTTAGCCTCAATCTGTTTTTTTCTAAAATAGGGAGTAGTAAATATTCAGTCGTAGCAAATATATGCTAACCTACATGGTATACAGGTTTTCAGGGTTTATAGCTGTGTTTTACTTTATTGTGGTTGACACAATACTTGGCAATAAATATTTATGGAATTGTTTTCAAAATAGGAAGAACAAAGATAACATCAAATAAATTAGCAAGGTTTTTTTCTCCTGGTGATTGCTATAGGTATTCTGTATGCTAATAATTGTAAAGCTTAATCATCTGGAGTATGCAGCTCTGTATTAACAAAAAGGTACTCAAATGCTATTTCTTCTCCAACAGAAAAGTACTGATCACAGACAAAGTCTCTTGATAATTTATGTGACGTGTCCTAAGTTCACATTTTAACCAGCCTTTTCCATTGATCTGCTGCAAAATAGGTGTTCTTTGTGCCTTACCTTGTATAGAGCGTAACAAATCACGTCAAATAATCCCTGTGGATTGTAGCTAGACAAAGGTTATTTTGGTTGAAGGCAGAAGAATCGGTTAGAACTAACCTGTGCATATGTTTGAAAAGTAGAAATCCTTTCTATAAAATGCTCTGCTTACCAAATTAAGAATTCCTACTTCGACCCTGAAAAGCACGCTTCATAGAAAGCGTAGCCGGAAGAAATGAGGCTGACTTGAGTTAATAATGTGATCAGGATGATTTGCATTAGTGTAAACCTGCTTCTTCAAGACCAAATTGCTTTAATTGGTTATAATTAATTGTTTAAATACCTCAAATTGTATCTTTTCCATGCAGGCTGACTTAACTGTATTCCCTGAAAGCCAGTACGTAGATATGGAGATCACCCTAAACTTGAGGGAAAACTTAAGTCAAGGTAGATGGGATGAGTTGTTCTGTGAACAAGGCTAGTGGGTTAGCGGTCATGGACAAACGTTTCAATTTGGAGCCTTTATTATCTCAGAGTTCTCCTCAAAGTTAATGCATTTACACTCTAATAGAAGTAAAATCTAAAAATCTGTAAAATAACACAAACAAACAAAAAAACCCCTACACCAACCCCCCCTGTAATTCTAGAAGTTAAAATTTTCAATAACTTGATCTTCAGCACTACTTAGTTACTTCCCTTTTTTCTTTGACCAAAAAAATAAATAGCCTGCTTGGAAACTTTTTTAAAAATAAGATAATTTTTTGCAAAGATCATATAAGCTTTAGAATGAAAGGAGACAGTAGTACAACGCTGGCTCTTCGGGGATGTGCTTGCTTGAGTCGCAACCCAAGTATTGCGGTGAGCTGCGCGAGGAGAGGTTCCAGGGTTGTCACTGGTGAAGGAGCAGTGCAGCCTCCCACAGACCTGTGAGCAGCAGAGCTGTCTGACCCCCTCCAGGAAAGCCTGGGACCTGCCATCCCATTCCTCTCTCATCAGAAGTCCGGATTTGTTTGGACTGGCATGGCAGCAGTATCTCCTGGTGTTTGCTGTAGATAGGGCCAGTTCTGTAGACTGGCAACAAAACCAGAATGTCAGTAGTATAAACTGGGAAGATTGTGGTGGTACTTGGTCAGCAGGCATTAAACGTATGTAGTTGTGGATGTTTTCCTAAATTTTCAAACATGGGTGTTTGTAAACAGCTAACAATCATTCTGTGAACAGAGATTAATAGATGTTAGTCACTAGATGATAGATACTTCATAAAGTGCAGTTAATATATGGATGTCTAGTGTTGATGTCAAATTTGTTCTGACAGGCCAAAATTTCTTAGCCATTTTGCTTCCAGCAATGACTAGTAAGAAGTATGCATAACATTCTGATATTCCAATTCAGAAAAAATGTTGATATGTTTTGTATCTAACTCCTGCAGTTTTATGTTAGATAGTTCCCATTTTTCATATATTTATCCATTATTCCCTGTTTTAAGAGGAAACATTAATGTTTAACTTTATCTGTAGGAATAAAGCAACCTTCTTTTTGCACTAATCCACATTTATTGGTTTTGCTTTTTTATTAAAAAAAAAAAAAAAGCAAAATTAGAAACTTGTTACCATACTTCTTATAATTTATAGCAGCTATTCAATGGTTATTATAGTATTACAAATATTTTGGACCTTTCACAGCAAGCAGGATTATGACCTTCACCTGCTCTGGCAAGCTGCAACATCATTATATAAATATCAGAGATGGGTTAAACTGAGGTCTGGTTTTACTAGATGCTTATCTTTATTTTGCACTGAGAGTAAAACATTGTGATCAAAACAAATCCTTCATGTTGAAACTAGCCTTCTCTTACCAAATTTGCTGCTCTGTTGCAGGACAAATACCTTCCTTGCGGTCATGAAATGATGTTCTGTATTACTAAATTAAAACTGATCAGCAAGTTCTAAGTTTTTCATTAGAAAACTTCTATTCAGATATTTAAGAAACAGTATAAATTCTCAGGTTTAGATTGGAAAAAAGCTACAGAATTGATATCTGCGTGTTATTTGAAGAAGTAACATGTCAGCTGTAGTAAATGTAAGCCTAAACTTGGGTTCCAAACGTCTCCCATTTTCTGACAGTAACGGTCATAAGTTCTTAGTTTGAATTCTGATTTAAATCTGTATGGGGAAAAATGCCAAGAAGCAATTAGTGTTGCTATGTAATTTTAAAATTAGTTTTATTTGCTGAAAAAATTGTACTGATTACTGGTTTATTTCAAAATATATCAGAAACTGCTAATTTAGTAAAAATGAAAATGACTATTTCTGGCTTGTACATAAAATTTGCCTTATGCATTTATACTGTTGTATATTTATTATGTTAACATCTGGATTTTTTCTTTGCTTGTTTTTAGTTATGGGAAAGTAAATTTTTCAGTAGTGAACTTTTTAACAATGGTGCTCCTACTGACTGTTCATTTTCTCTGTATGATTTTTTTTAAAAATAAGATCTTCTTTCAAACTAAATATAGCAGTTCTTAGATCACTTTTAACTTAGCCAAATTTATATAGGACCTGAAATATATGCCTGATGCAATTTCAACTTGAAATATGCAGAGCTATGGTTATGATTGTCCTGCTGGGATCATTTCAAGCATAATTTGTTGATAACTATTTTCTAATTTTTTTCATTATTACGAAATAAATTATCAAGCTTCTTGGAGTTTTTAGCCCCCAGTAAATGGTTTTGAACAGTTTGCTCAACTTCAGTGTAATTTCAGCTGAACAAAAAAATTAGTTTTGATAGAATGTTCTTAGATGTTAACAAATGTCTGAATGTGATTTGTAGATTTTTCTCGTATATGGATATTAATGAAACTCTTGCCACCTTCTTTTGACCTTTTAGTTTATACTTCTGTTTTAATGACTGTAAAAGTAAACTGTTGTATAATCTCTATGAGAAGTGAGGTCATTTGGGAGCAGAAGAGCAGGTTTTTTGTTTTAAAACTTGAAAAATATTGCCTACAGTAAACAAGGCAAGATGTATCAAATCCATACTTGACACCTAGAAGATTTTTAGAAGCTTGCTTGGCACCAGAGGAGTAGGAAAATCTGGGTGGAAAATGTATCAATCATCTCTTTCATCTTTTTGTTTTTGTTTGACAGTTGTTCTTGCAGAATTTTTCCTCATCTTTTGTACTTCAAGCAGCTATGACACTTTAACTTCTTTGGGAAACTCCCTTCAGATTTCACCAAATGTATTTATTGAGTCCTGTCATAACGGCATGCTCAGCGTTTCAATTACTGTGTTGGCAGTATTTTCAGGTTAGGCAAAAAATTGCTAGGTACCAACAACTACAGATTCTTTTTATGTCATTTTGTGGGTAAGATTTGTCCCTGTAGTAGAAATCAAGTTTATTCACTTGTCTCAGTAAAGCAATGTTACTGTTATTCAGTTCATTTGAGTTAGATCATTTAGAGTGAAGTACTGTCTTTGAGAGAATGCATTTAAATGACACTTCTCAGTTAGATATTTGGCTGCTTCAGCTGTCTATGCCATTTAACTTAGGAAATATTTTCAATATGCTGGTTCATTTAGATTCAGGAATAGATTTTCAAGTAGAATAAGAATAACTTATACAGACCTGTACTTTTAAATTCAGTGACCCAAACAAGGCTACAAAGTTCTTTGACAAATCCTGGCCTTTTTTTTTGCTTTGCTTTTTTTCAGTACTCCTTTTAAATATAAAATTTGGCTAATGAATGGCTTTCAGGAATAAACACATAGCTAGCTGAGAAGTGAGAAATTCTTACTGTCAGAAAAAAGAGGAAAAATAATAATTCCTTACATACATTTCAAAAAGAGAGATGAAGCTCATTTAAAAATAGTGCTCCTGGGATACACTCTGTGATATTTAAAATTTAGGGTGCTAGAGCACATCTGAAAGGATATGTATGTGCTTTGCCTGCCTAAAGTCTGTGTGTCTGGTTATATATTTGTTCATTAAACAATATATGTATGTGTTCTCTGCAGAAACATGATCAGGGACAAGTTCTATTGGATGTAGTCTTCAAGCATCTCGATTTGACAGAGAGAGATTACTTTGGTTTACAGTTGGCTGATGAATCTACTGATAACCCTGTAAGTTGACTCTGTTTTATAAATATGATTTTATAAATCATAGTCATGTTCATCATTGTGCTCTGTGTCGTTGTAAAGAGAAGCAAATAGAAGCCATTGCAATATTGTGCCACCTTCTCCAACTGTGTCATTTGAGCGGGTCAGTATCACATTGTAGTTACAATAAAACTAAATGTTAATAGTTACAAGTCTGGAGTAAAATGTTGAGGTCTGTGCTTATGAAATAATACCTTAAAGGGATATTGCTTGTTTTATTGCATCTATTTACTAGACGGCATGATCGTTGTCAGTTGGTATAAGAAAGAGTAACTCTTTTTTTTGTTTTTAATGTTTTTTTTGTTTTTTGTTTTTTTTTTTTTCATTAGGACTTAGGAAAAAAATGAGGGGTTTTTAGATTGTCCTGTACGGTGTTTTTGGTTCTAGCCTAGACACCTGGTAGGTCTTTCAATAGTGATTCATTATAGTCCACTCTCTGACAAGGGCTGTCAGCTCATCACCTTAAGGAAGGGACTCCTTTGAAAGTGAGTGTTTGTAATAGTTCATGCGATTTAATTGAAAGGAAATATCATAGGACCGAAACTTTGTAAATCACTTCATAATTCATCTGTAGAAACTAGTAGATCCAGTTGTAATGTTCAGTGGCTGTAATAGTTACAGCTGTACTGCTGAGATCATGGTTGCTTGAAGAATACTTTTGAATACTTTCTTTTGTAGGTATCAAATGTTCAATACTTGTTTTAAAGTGCAATTTAACTAAATATTATTCCTTATTAGACAATTCTTTACGTAGTTCTCATTATATGTGTGTCAGACTGATGGTGTCTAAATTTATCTCCAACTTGTGTGTCAAAAGTAATTTTGTTCACAAAATGTGCAGAATGTGATCTATAGAGATAAGTGACACTGTAAAGTGTTACTCAGTAACTAAGGTGAATTTCAGAAGATAGTGCCACTTTCTTTGGTAAGTGCAGATTTGGTCTGCTGCTGTTTTACCATTAAGAGTGACTGTTCTAAATAGAAGGAATACTTTTTCATCTTACTAAGAGGTTGGATTTTTTTCTTAATTTAATGTCTTTTTTTAATGTAGAAGAGGAAGAAGGAGGTCACAATACAGCCATAATTTTTCTTCTGCCTGGATAGTGAACTACTTCCATGTTTCTCTCTTCTCTAGAGCAAATTATTCTTAATTATATTCTTTTTCTAAATTCTGGTAATGTTAAGATTATTAATATGAATAAAGCTGTATACCACAGTTGTAGATATTTAACAAAGTTTTCTTTTGTAACTTTGTAGATAGTTCTGTTAAGACATTGGCAAGCTGGCTTCATTTAATCTTTTTATTCTAAACTTTGTTTCCAGGCTGAAAACACATAGGCATGCTGTAGAGAAGGCTGAATTATTTTTTAGCTTTGTTTAAGAAGTATTTAATTGACTGTCACGCAGTATTTTACTCAACATTCAGAAATTTGTAGTGTTTCTCATTCTCATTTATCTGGCTTTCCAAAGCTTAGTCATCTGAGCTCTCTTTTTTTTAGTTTATCTATCGGGAAGCAGCTGAACACAACACTGTAATAGAAGGATCTGGTTAAGAGTTAGTCTGAAAGAAGGAGGACTTCACAGCTATTTGATATATGCACATGCTTTAAAGGTTTAGTAGTCTTTGACTTCTAAATGTTTTGGCTTTTCAGCACATATCTAGTTGCCATGAAAACAATGTGTCAGAGATAGAAATGTTACCAATCTTAGTCATGTAAGCTTGAAGAATTTCTGGGTTTGACTAATTTCAGTTTTTGATGTCAGTTTACTTTTACACCCGGTTCATTTGGATAAAGAAACCAGATTGGATGGACAAATATTCTAGTAACTTGTGAAATAACAGTGGAATATTAATAAGGTATAGTCAATACAGCAGGAGATAAAGGTGATGGGGAAAAGGGGATTCTGCTAATTGAGTGTGAAACATCTATCATTGTGCCTAAACATAGATTTCATAAACTGCACAAGCTTTATGTTTTTGTATAATATTAATGTCACAGTAAAAGTCAATGCAAGAAAGTGTTGATGCTGTGTGCAGCTGGAGTGGTGCTTTTGGTGAGGGTCTTGGACTGTGAATGCCTGGAGCAATGCTGAGAAGGGGGTATTGGTGCATTGTGGGAGCGAGGGTGCAGCAAATACTGTCAGCGTGGGTGCCGGAGCACCCGTGGCAGGAGGGAGCGAGGCAGGGATTGTTGCTGGGGGAGGAGAGAGTACAGAAATGACTCTCCAAGGGACTGGGGTACAAAACTCACGGATCCCCAAATCTATTTGCCTCTCAGACTTACTGGGATGTAAATAGCATAACACGTCTTGCTAGCAGCACCTTGATTCATAAAGTTCTGGTACTTTTGCCTAAATCCTGTCAACTTACAGCTTCTTTAAGTGGTTTAACCCTCTGCAGTTTCCCAGAGAGAAAATCAGCTTTTGCATTTGGATCCGATGATATCACTTGAAAGCATGGATATTGCCTGATAATATGGTTCAAGAAAAAGTTACACTTCTGTGTTTGAGCTACGCTAGTACATACCAAATTGATCTTTACAACCAGAAGGAAATGTAAATGCAAGCTTTTCTTCTAGGCATTTCAATTCCAGGTTTTCTGGATTAACTGTAATCTCAAACAGTACTTCCCACAAAAAAAGAAAATATTGGAGGATTATCAGTCAGACCTGTGCATTTATCAGATATATTGATCATAACCCCTTGCTTAAAGATACTCAAGTATCTTTCACCATGTTTTGAAAGATTCTTATATAAAATTAATGTGTATCCCTGGCTGGAGAGTCCTTTCTTAAGCCTTTACGTTTAGTCTTAAAAGTCAATTGATCTTGTGTGAGGTTTTTTTGAAATAATCACACTCTTTAAGCTGTATCAAACTGTCGCTTTAGTTCCTCTTAAGTCATCTACTAGAAGGATACAGCATTTGGATTTAGTCATCATTATTTGTTATTCCCAATGAATAAAATGACTCAGAACTAACTTCAGATCCATAGTGTGTGTGTCAGATAGCTCAGGTACCTCTGTGCGTTTGCTTCCTCCTCCTTCACATGAAAAAAATAATAAAAAGCCCTGTGATAAGTGTGAGGTAGTTACATGCTGTACAGGGTTAGGTCTCTGTTACTTCATAGGAACTGTGGCCATAGAACTGTTTCCTAAGGCGTGTAGGCTTGCCTTGCAAGGCAGGATGAGGCATCAAACAGTATTTATAACAAATATAGATTTAAGACTTAACTGAACTACGTTGGTATGTGCAAAGTCTGCTGGGTTGCCAGTGGGGAGTGGTTTAAACAACTTGTAGGGCTTTCCAGAGAACCATACTTCTCTCTGAAGTTTGCAGTGTTGATTTTTATGAAGATCTGTCTGTAATTCCCCACAGCAGCGTTCTCCTGTACAGACGATCAACATTGGGCGCTGTTTGGTAAAATTGTTCTGTAGTCCTTAATCCAGTGGGCTGAGTGCTGAGTCTCTGGTTTCCAAGATCCCAATTAGCGATTTACCAGAGATGACACTCAGGCTGACAATTTGAAGAGGATCTGTGAGCCAGTGGGCTCGCTCCCTGGATGTGTCAGACCTGCAAAATGCAGACTCAAAAGTACTGGAACTAGTTTAAGCAAATTAACTTCGGAGTTGGGTAAATTAGCCTGCTTATAGCTCTTCACTGCCACAGTTAGTTCACCTTAGATGATCAGTTTAAAGAGTAGTTGAAGATTGTTAAACACACCATAATTGAGTTCTAACCTCTCTCAGGCTCATGTGACAATCATAGAACCAAGTCATTGTCGAATTAGCGCTGTAAGAGACAGATATCTGGACAGCAAAGGTTAATCTCAGGGAAAGAAGAACAATAGCAGCTGTTGATAATAATGTTGGTGTCTTTCTAGAATCAGTAAGAAGACTTTGTATGCCAGCAAGACATTTTGGTAAAAGACTGAGTAAAAAGTAATAGAAAAGCAACAGTTACTTGATGTATAAAGCTATAATTTGCACTTTTTTGTTTCTCTAAAGTTAGTGTTATAATTTGTCTCTTTCCAGAGGTGGCTGGATCCAAACAAACCTATCAGGAAACAATTAAAAAGTGAGTACATGTATGTATTTGGTCAATTCATATATCATTATTATGCTGTTTTTCCAGGGTACCCTGATTAAATAGAAATAACTTTTCTTGACCGTAGGAGGATCGCCTCACAGTTTGAACTTTAGAGTTAAGTTTTTTGTAAGTGACCCAAACAAGCTCCAAGAAGAATATACAAGGTAGGTCTAATTAATTTATCATAAAACATTTTTCTAGAAGGCTTATGTTTAAGGGGAAAACTATCATTAATTTTTTTAAGGTATAACATGGAAATTTTCTTTTAAATCATTTTTATGTCATAAGTGCAAGCTTCTAATTTGTGCCTAATAATTACAGATATGAACTATGCAGTTGCACCAAATCAATATAACAAAAAGCCTCTGTGAATAAATTTACAAATTTATATGCAAAGTGAAGTAACTACATGAAGAAAATACTACCAAGTAGAAACAGAAAAGGGAAAATAGAGAAGAGAGGAAAAACTTAATCCCACTATTTACCAATGAGTACAAATTTAATTTTTTCCTTACTTGTGTCCTCCTCTGTGATTAAAAAATTCCTGAGCTTTCTGCATTTTCTCTTGACCCCCTCCCCAATTTTCTGCTTGGCACTAATAAAATTAATCTCTGTACGGTTGTAGTCCAAGCTTAAAGCATGTAAGCTTTTTTTGATAGCAGTGTGTTGAAGTCTGTTGAAGAAAATGCTTAGTGTGAATCCAAGATGGGAGGCTTGTGAGTTGCAATTAGTCCCTGAAGAAATGCCTCAAATTTTTAGTATTCTTAATTAATTCTGGTCCTCTACATAACTGGCATGGTTTGACAGATTGGAATTTCTGGATGTCAGCCATTCTGAAAACAGGTCAGCCCCATTCAAAAAACAGTATCTAAATTATTAAGGATAGCTTTAGAAACGTAAGTACCAAAACTGTGAAAATTTGAGTCCACGTTTGTTTACAATTTCTTTTGATTTGTCATAATTTGGACAAAATTTTACACGCATCTATGCAGACAGAATTTACTAAAATGAGTCTCAGAGATCCTGGATCAGGCTTTGTTTTATTGAAATATTTACTCTAAGAAAATTTGGCAATTTACTATATCCAAATAATGAAAAATGTGTTATTTGAGTTAAAGGACAATATGTAATATTCCTAAGGAGATGGAAAAACCAGTAAATGTTGATCAATGTGAAGTAAACAGTAACAAAGAGAGAACTGTTTACTTTAAATGTTATACTGTAAATACAAAGCTATAAATACAGCATTCTTTTAGATTAGAAATAATGTATGATTGCTGTATCTAGGTCAGCTCTGCCTTTTTTGCTAATAGGCCTAATTGCCCCTGAGAAAACTCGTTTGTATTTTATAAAGAGAGAGTTGTTATCTGTGGGTTTTTTTGGTGTGAAGTTAGGATGCCATGTCACAAAGACGAGGTCCTTTCATGTAATCAGTATTCGCCCCTTAAAAAAGAAAAGAAAAGAAACAAAGCACAAACTTCTGACAATTCAAGCTCAAGCTGAGACTTTTCAAAGATGCTCAGTTTTTATAAATTTCATGAAAACAGAGGAATGAGTCGACATGTAAGGCAGTGTGAACAGGTGTCAGGGAAGGGTTCAGTGCAAGCTCAAGTCTTATTAGACCTCTGCAAATTCCTGTGAGGGAGGCAGGTTATGAATGCCCCAGGTCAGGAAAGGTCAGCGGGAGCTCACCTTGTGTTGGAGAGTTTGGCTTCAGGAACTTGGCTTGGTAGGAAATGGAGCTTCGTTAGTCTGCTCATGGAAGAAAGACTTGCTTATTAACATTGACTCCAGTTAGCCACACTCTGCCTTACCCTTTTCTAGAGAGAGAGAGAGAAGGAAGGTGAAAACATTGTAATGCAATGCCGCCTTCATTGTTTTAGCTGAATTTGTTGTGCAGGCTTTTCCAGATCTACATTGCTAAAGCTTCTATTGATTTCCCATTTTGCTCAATAATATGCAAGGCTTCTGTGTTCAAACTGGGGTGGCTAGCTAACAAGCGAAGAACTTCGCTGTTTGCTGGAAACACTGGGCAGAAAATGAACTCTGCTTGGTGTTCCTTACTCATGAGGTCCCTTAAGTACCATGGAATATTTGTAATAAAGCATTACACCAAAAAAGTACAATAAAATGAAGGTGCAGCTGCACATACAGAATGTTTTTGTCCTACATTTTTCCAGCCGTAAATGTTAACAGGAAAAATTGATTTGTTCAGTATATTTGTGGAGAGATGTGCAAGCTAAGCATGTGAAGCATATCCTTTTAATATATAAATTTAACTTGTCATTTATTGCTTTTTTTTAACAGGTAAAGAAATTTTGCTTTATCTGTCTCTTGGTTTCAATATGCATTTTAAGGTGGAAAATGAAAAAGTATTTTGAGGTCTCTAAAGCGTGGCTAATGTCTCAGTTTTAACTTCTTGAGGTTAATACCTTAAAGTAAGCTTCTTGCCGTTCTGGTCAGCTAAAGAACCTCTAGATGGTTTTGTAGGAGTTGAGCACATGGGCTAACATCTTTGCTTGTCAGTTTGCAAGTGTTTTCCCTCATTTTCTTTCAAACATGGAATGTTTTACGTTTCCACTATATTTAGCTTGTAAATGATTGGATTTCCATGTGTGTATTTGTAAATGTTTGTGGAAGTCTTTAAAGTGGTAGTTAATCCACTTTCTGATGACTACACAATTATGAGAAGTCATATTATGTGTAATGAAGTGATAGATTTTGGTTTTAATTTCTTAGTGCAAGTTAATATTGGGAAATACTTAATGTTTGGTTTCAGTCAAACTTGAGCTAGGTGTTTTTGATAAGTAATTTTGATGAGTGTTTATAATGAATGGGTATGGCTAACTCTCTACTTTTGAATCAGAACTACAAGAAGGAAACCAGATTAATAATAATGATGAAGATGATGATGTAGGAGATCCCAAAACAGA